TGTTCTTTTTAGCAACATCATATGACCGCTTTAATAAAATGCACAGTCCAGCTCAATATACTTCGGTCATGTTAGCAAAACGTAGTTTATAAATAAGCCTGATGTCAGCGATTAAAACAAAGTTCCTGCTTCCTTTGGTAAACACCTGCAGCTGCTTTCATGTGTTTGCAGAGCATCAAGTTTTCTGTGTTCTTTCTTCTACATAGAGCTGCATCTGTTTCAAGGCAGAAAGAAAACATCATGCTATGATAAAGTTTCAAGACTGTTATGAGCTTAACGAAAATATTCAACTTCCTGTTTTTTTTTTCGAGAACAGAGTCAGAGTCAGCCAGTTTGATTGCTATGATGACATTAACATGAATGTCAGAATGTTTAGTTCCTCTTACACTTTACTGACAGCAGCACTTGAGCTGCATGACCATGTTTGTCTCAAACCTGATGATCATGTTCACCAGCATGATTTGTGAATGATCCTAGAGCATATTGTGCTTGGGTTGAATCAATGAATCTTACTCTCTGTACAGGAAAAACAGTGAATGTCTAACCTTGAGAATATCAGAAGTCATCGTTTTTAGGGGAATGAGTTTTGCCTCTTCCATGTGAACATCCTGCTCATCTGCTACAATCCATGGAAAATCCTGTTAAATATACACAGAACAGATAAGGCAAGAAGGTGCAGACATTTTTGTCATAATTTACTAACCCAAATGTTGTTCTTTTGCAGAACATAAAAGACATTTTGAAGAATGTTGATAATCATGCAATTTTGGTGACCATTCATGTTCCACAGAAGTAATAAAGTCACACAGGTTTGGAATGAAATGAGGGTGAGTAAATGATGACAATTACATTTTTTTTGTGACCTATCCCTTTTAGATGAAGGATAAAACTGAATACAATAAATGAAACCCTATAGTGCAAGTCAGTGCATATTTTCTAGCCAAGGGTACGGGAAATGTAAAAACAATAGAAGGAACTATATAAGAGTTCACATCAGGTTTGCATGTACAGCATCTTTTTGTGGAACATCTGAGAAAAAAGTTTTTGTTCTCAGGTTTCCCAGCAGTTCACTTAGATATCAAGTCAACAGAGTGAACTAAAGACAAGAAAAGACTAGATCAAAAAAATTATAATAATAATAATTATATATATATATATATATATAAAACACACCTTGATGACCTGAACTTTCTCCATGTTTCTTGTGGCAGCTTCCCTGGTGTGTACCAACACTGTGAATGTGCATCCTGCAGAGTAGAAGAAAATCCACAATGTAAATGCAAATCTATTAAAACTTTATGTTTAATAAGTGTGAGCTCAATTACTGGAATGGATCATTTTGTGGTGATGGCTGAGTTCCTACCTGGAGGATTATTGTCTAGAACAGCATCACATACGCTGATTTTTAAGATCATCGCTCTCAGCAGCTGCTCCACATGAGACAGCAGAGTCTCTGAGCTGACACAGCAAATCCCAACACACACATATCAGAAAAATGCATAACTTCCACCTAGATTTTAAAACACTAAATCCACCGTCACTCACCTGATGGATAGCAGTGGAGGCGGTGAGATCTCAAACACAAATCTCTCCACTGGATGGTGCTCTTTATCCATGATCACCACTACAACCTTCTCAGCCTCATTCTGCACAAAGAGCACAAAACAAGTCTGGTTTACTCACTGTTCAGATGGAAACCATTCTAATCAGATTGGTTAGCCTGTTTTTCTGTAAATAAGTACATTAATCAAATATGAAATAAAAACCTCACCTTCTCTATCAGTGGCTTGACACAATGCAGTGTGTCTTGAATGTACTGGTTTAACTCAGGATGACATGACATCTGGCAAATTAAATATAAGTAGTCAAATAACTTCAGCAACATTTTCTGTCTATTTCTCTTTTCCCATTGCATGATGAATTAGCAACGCAGTGCTCATTCGTAATGTCATCAATCTTAAAAACATTACCTGCACAGGTACGCTGTATTTCTTCCTTTTCTGAAAAATACCAGATGGATAAATCTCTCTGACATATAGGATGAGGTGAATGGCCACTTCCAAAAACTCACACAGAATGTCAGCAGCAACTGAAAATGACCAATATAAAAAGAATATTCACAATTACGTTATTTGAAAGCTGTACAGTGCATTACATTTACAAATTAAATAAACGTTACCTTGGCCAAAATTAAGGTCCTGCCTCGTCAGAGTGGCCATACCGAAGAAGCCAAAATATATGCAACAACCTTTAATAAAAAGAGCAGCTTCTCGTTTATAAAATATCAGCGATCATGCATATAGTTGCTCCAGAATACGTGTGAGAAGAGTGTTGCATTCAGAAAAAAAACGTAAAAAATAAAACAATTTCGGTAATACACTCAGTCCGATTATTGGTAAAATGTCTGTCATCCACAAATAAACAAACATTTAATAACACGCTGCTCGAAGGATGTTTAGACTTTTCTTCTGTAATCTGCAACAGAACAGCAGCGCTATATGGCTATACGCCTGCTGCCACCTACCGGAGCGGAAGAAGAACGCGACAACAAACCATAATGTCACAGTACTGACTTATAAAAGAAAACAGAACAAAAGGACTGGATCTTGTATATATCTACTTAGATGCAGTAAGTAAGTAAGTATGTTGATAGTAAGACCAAATATCTCAAATAAACTGTATGACAACAGGCAAAATAAATGACACCTTTCTGAGCAAACTACAACAGAGAAATATAGACTATTAACATTAAGGAACGGAACAAACTGACTGTTAACTGACATGTGTCCACTTCTTCAGGGATTTCATAAAATATTATTTATTTATTTATTTAAAGCTGTTCATTAAATAATTATTTATTCAAATTTAGTCCTGCATAATAAAAGCCTATTTAACTATTAAATTTTTTATTTGTATGTAACCAGCACAGCATGTAATTCAGGGACTTCATTTATGACAGGCTGTGAGCAAAGGTTTACCTGAATGACCTCATGGACCCGCTGCTCTTTAGAAATGACATACGTAAGACAGTGTCAGAGACTAAGAATCTGATTTACTTCCCAGTTGATGTCCTGAGAATCTGTGCGTATTCAAATTATGCTTTGATTCACGACATCAAATTTTATATTTGCAGATAAAGCAGGAAAATCATCAAAATAGTCATTCGATCAGTAACTTACTTGATTGTAACTGTATTACAGCAGTACATACTTTAGCTATTTGGGAAAAACAACTATAACTCTGTGAAACATTGAATATGAGTACAAAATATAGCAGCTGTATATACTGTATACACGGGACTTCAGTACTTTATCTTATTCATTAACAGTTCTTTATTATGGATTACTGAATTGCTGAATGATTAACTTTCCAAGACACAGCAACGTCCATAACTGGAAAGTAAATACAGCCTTAAGCTCTCCAAAAGACACTTTCTTGAAGTGAAAAGTAGCAGGATAAGCTTTTGTTTAAAGAGTTTGCTAGTAGTTTCTCCTTTTTGTTTGTGTTTGATTTGTAGCTGACTGAGAAGCAGAGAGCTGGAAGGAAATGGAGTCCAATGAGACCAGTGTTCAGTACAACCACTGGAATGAAGACAACATGAACATGCAAGTGCCGCATTCACAGTCCAGACTGATTGGGTGAGAATCTACTCTATATATTTCATATAACTGATAAATAATTTTCAGAATTATGATTGGAGTCAATCAAACAACTCATGTCAATCACATCTGTGCCCATATAGTCTCTATAACAGGCTGTGCACCGGACGTCTTGGCATTGTAATGAAAGCGGCAGTGTCTTTGACTGTGATGGTAGTTATATACATTGTTGGATACATCACAGGATACTATGTTCACCGATGCTGAAGAGGACACTTGACAGAACTGGCTATTTAAGGAACTGGCTGTTATTTGAAACATGAATTATGTCCATCAAAGAAGTACCAACATTTATCAAATGTTTTAAAATGGGTTTTTAAATAAGTTACTTTTATTTTAACATAGTATCTTAACCGGTGTTAACAAGTAAAATACTTGATCAAAACCAGATTTTATTTTATTTCTTATTTGAATGTCAGTGACCATCTCATATCCAAAAGTGCATTAGCGGTCGCAATACATAGCCTATAATTTGCTATTATACCAAGAATAAAATAAAGTTAACAGTAAACATTTTACAGTGAGGTTTAATTTTTGGTTGATGCATTATCATTATCAACAAGGAACAACATGTTTACAGCAGCTTTTAGCAGTCTTTGTACATACACTACGGTTCAAACATTTGGGATCAGTAAGATTACATTTTTTAGAGACAATATTTTTATTCAGCAAGTATGGATAAACTGATCAAAATTGACAGTAAACACATTTAAACAGTTTTTAACATTGCTAATAATATGAAATATTGTAGAGCAAAGGCTGCTGAAATATGCAGCTTTTCCTTCA